CAGTCGTTGGAACTGGCAAACCATTGAAGGACTGGAGCGCATTGGACACCAGTGCACCATTGGCATTTTCTCCAAACCAGCAACGTCCCATCTATGGAGATGGGAAGTACCGTCATCTACGTACCCAAGGTCTGCCTGTCAAGTTTGTCAGAAAGGGCAATCTCAAAGAGTTCAAGCGTCAGATACAAGAATTCATCGAAGCAAACGGGTTCTTTGCCATCACTCACGTACCTGATCCAGTCTCTGGCGAAATGCTCTGTATTGTCAATGGACATCCAAGATTCACGGTCCAGTCTGTTGCAAAGCAAGTTGAACATCAGGATAAGTGTTACGACAAGTACGACAAAGCAAACGACACTGAAGCCAAGATCTTCCTATGCAACAGCCTCAACCCAGAACTTGCTGCCAAAGACTGCCAATCCTTTTCCCGTCATGTTTCAAAAGTTCATTCAGATGCTCCATTCACGGTCCAGTCTGTTACAAAGCAAGTTGAACAACAGGTCAAATGTTACGACAAGTACGACAAAGCAAACGACGCTGAAGCCAAGATCTTCCTAGGCAACAGCCTCGACCCAGAACTTGCTGCCAAACTCTACCTGAAGGTCAAGACTACCGATCCGTTTCCCGTCATGTTCCAAAAGTTCATTCAGATGCTCCACACCACGTCTATCCATTATTTTGAAGGACTCAAGACAAACATCCGCAAGCGCAAGCCCTCCCAATACTCTGGAGAGGACATTGCACAGATGGCAGAGGACAACAAGGAAGACGCAAATGAGTTGACGATTGCGGGTCAGTATGAGTTCAATCTCAACAATGTCATGGTTGACAACTTCCTTGAAGCCTCCAGAGCTGAGCACAACTCTTACCGTCATGAAATGCTCAACGTCAGCGCCAAGATGAACAAAGCACTGATTGAGATTGGCTACATGGACAAGGAAGCAGCAGCGCAACATTTGGAAGCAGAAGAACTTACACACGAGCACATCTGTGACAAGGCCGAGGACGCTTACCGTACACTTTTTGACAAACATCAATGGCCTGCTGCGAGACCCACCATCCGAGACTCCAAGACTCCGTATGCCAAGATGGCCAAGACATTCACCCCCGATGACGTCCAGAACCATGCATACGCTCTGATCCACCAACAGACCGGTTCAAAGGGCAAGGCCAAACCTGACGACATCTGTTTGAACTGTGGAGAGAAAGGACACTGGGCTCGCGACTGCAAAAGTGACAAGAAGCTCAAGCGACCTTTCAACAACAACAAGAAGAGTAAGCATCAAAAGGATAAGCACGGTTCCAGCTGGAAGACTACTCCACCTGCTCCTGGTGCACCTGAGACCAAGAAAGTCCGCGGAAAAGATTTCAACTGGTGTGCTCACTGTGGACGTTGGTCGACCACCCATGGTACTGACGGACATACCAATGATGCCACCAAGCGCGACTTGAAAGGTTCGGGACCCCAAGCAAATCACCTACGCTTCGCTGGAGCCTGGTACACTCCCCTCCGCCATGATCAGCCCAGTCTTCTGTCCCTACGTGTTGTCTGGACCATCCTCCACCACCTTTTGAGCTACCTTCCCCAGTTGGTTGTTGCATTCTTCCTGGCCCGTTCCATTGGAGTCACTACACCAAATCTTTCAGCCCTCATTGCCGATCAAGTCTCAACTGCATCCTCTTTCTTGACCGATCAAGTTTCCTTCATGATGAGTCAAGCTACCGCCGCCTCCGCCTACCTATTCACTGCCGCTTCCACTGTCATTGCTGCCTTTGAAGGATCCCCTACCAACCGCCTTGCTCCGCTCCTGTGGTTCACCCTTCTGATCCTCGTGTCCCTTCCTACCAAAGTGCAACATCGTCTCATTGGGTCCCCACCTCAAGAGTTTCGCCCGTTCCGGATGACCAAAGCAAAGTACAAACGATACATTCAACATTGCCGTCGTCAGCGCCGCCCCACTTCCTTCAGCCATCGTCGCCACACCCGTCACTATGGTCTCGCCACCCGCCGTCGCCTCAACCCACGATCTCAAGATATCTTTGACTTGGTCCAACATATCATTCAGTTTTTGGAGTCTCTCACGTTTCGTCGTTCCTGTCGAGAGGGAGATAATTGGAGAAGCAACAGACGACATCAGAGAAATCACAATGATCAAAGCAATTGGCAGAGAACAAACGACGGTTGGAGAAACATGAACGACAACGAACCTAGTACCCCTCATGCTACCACTTCCCGCGAAACACCCCGTGATGACCATCAGCGTCGGCGTCCTGGCGATCCAAACTGGACCTTCTACCAAGGTCCCCGCCAGCGAGGTGAAGATGATGCCTTCCGTTTTGATCCTCCCAGACCTCGCTCCTGTCGCTACGACTCCTCCAGACATTGTTCGGATCGCCATGACCCTTCTTCGACACCAAGTGACAACATCTTCCGCCACTTCAATACCTTTCCAAGAACGGATCGAATGCGCAGACGAAGGATGACACGTCGACGTCAACCAAGCATGCCACGAATCTACAGACCTACCGTTGGCGTCGGACTCCCAATGGCTCACATTGCCGTTCTATCTTCTCCGGCGGCCAAAGCCTTCTTCAAGAACGCCAATATTCCACAACAATTCAGCAAGGTCATCAACTGCTTCCGTGCTGCAATGAATCCAGATGAATTGAGATCAGATATGTCAGGTGATGAAAAGGCGACAAGGTACCCGATAATCTGGGATTCCGGTGCAACAACTTCGATCTCACCTTACAAGGACGATTTTGTGGGAAAGCTTGAGCCAGCACCTCTTGGACTCAAGCTTCGTGGAATTGCTAGCGGCCTAGAAATCAAAGGGATTGGACATGTTGCATGGTCAGTGGTTGATACAACTGGCATGTTACAAACAATCAAGGTGCCTGCCCTATACGTACCTTCTGCCACAGCTCGATTGCTCAGTACCTCAAGTTTGCTCCAGACATACACCGATGAGTCCATCTCAATGAACGCTGATCATCTACAGTTGTCTGGATCAGACAAAACAAATTCAGTACACGTTGACCACGACCCTTCAACGAACTTGCCAACATCGCTTGCCTACTCCCATGGAACTGCCCCTAACCGATTCGACGCATTCGCGAGCATCATCACGTCCACCTTGGAGTCAAACCACAACCTCAGTCCTGCAGAGAAAGAACTCCTAAGATGGCACCATCGGCTCGGCCATCTCAACTTCAGTCAGATCCAATTTCTCCTCCGCACAGGTGTATTGGCACATTCAGAGTCCGCTCGACGATTGCAAGCTGCAGCATCTCGGATCACAACATACCCACTTTGCCCAGCTTGCCAATTTGGAAAACAACGTCGTCGACCTTCTCCCGGAAAGACTTCTCAAGTCGTTTGTGATCGAGAGGGAGTTTTGAAGAAAGAAAACCTGTTCCCAGGACAAAAGGTGTCAGTTGATCATTTTGAGTGTACCACAAGAGGACGATTGCTTCATACCTTTGGCAAAGAAGATCCCAAGACACAGTACACCGGAGGATG